GAAGTCCCATAAACCCTCGGAGGTAAAAAGACACCAGGAAGAACTGCCGCTCGCTACGTTCCCTCTAAGAGTGAAAGGCAGAGAGTTCTGGTCTCTCTTCTTGCGCATAGGACTTCTTTCTTTCATAGCCAGATAGATGGCACATTCCCAACTCTGATTAAGAAGGAATTTCTTCCCCTCCTAGATAGAACAGGCTCGTAGGCAATTCAAACATTTGGACTCCTGCGTATCCCTTTAAAAAGACTCCGGGAAAGAAGAAAGATAGCTTAGCTAAAAAAGGCTAAGGAAGCTCTTCTTCTCAAGGCCTAAGGGGCAAAGGGAGATTCATCTTGGGCTTCAATCGGCTTTGAACCGGCCTAGGTAGTTCCCATCGTACCATCCTTATCTGCTTATCAGGAGCAGGCAGCGCATCTGGTTGTTCCTTTCTTTTTACCCCTACTCTGGCATTTCCCGCTGGCAATTACCTTATTTCAAAATGGACTTTTTTGCCTCATATGATGAATCACGAGGTGGGGAAACTCTTTCAAAGTAGCTACTTTTCCAGTTAGACGATACAGGTTTTAGGGGTGTAGAGTCAAAGAATTGGAATATCATAGTTCTCCAAATGTTACAGTACAAATGTTCATGTTTCAGAAAGTGGACTTTTCCAATCTTGAAGTCCCCGCTAGGGTTGTTTAGTCTATACTGGTTTTAGGGCGTAGAGGCTTTCCCTGCTTTCCCGTTGTAGAGGGATTTTCAGATCTTTGATATATAGATCTTCTCTTAAGGGGTAGGTCGAAGACCTATTGATGATTTCGCTAGATTGGCCACTGTTCTATTGAATAAAGAGAGGAAACCCGATGTTCGAGGTTGGAATCGCCCTAGAGTGAAGTTGTGAAGTTCTCGAACAGACCCTTCCAAAGGAGATTTCCGCCCGGTTCAACTTGAGTACTCCATTCGGGGTGATATATAAAGGCTAAAATCGTCAGCAGAATAGCTAGTTTTGAAGCCGGTTGAAGGGGGATACGAACTATCGGATATAGTTCGAAATGAAGCTATTAAATGGCTCAATCCGGCCCCTAAATCTAAATAAGTCGCGAAGGTTGATGGCTTCGCTAAACCTTGCTGCCTTTACCTTCAAGTCCTCCGATCCTCTTCCTTACGGCCTATCGTTGGTTAAAGCATTTCCTTCACGCGGTCTTCTTAAGCCTATGTCTTGTGCTCTTCCTTCTTCTTTCCTGTGCCGCACAAACCAAACAAGCTAAAGCTTGCCTGGTTGGTACAATCAAAAGGGTCAAAGTTCGTTAGCTGAACCAGTTGTTCCTGCTTCTACCACTCACTCGCATGCCTAAGCTCCTTTCGTTGCTTGAGAGTCGTAGGCAGATGTAAGTCAGTCTAAATAAGATGATACCTATTAAATAAAGGTAGAAGCTCCTACCGTCCAGGAAGGAAGAGCTAAACGGAAGCACTTATTTTATTCCCCTTCTCTAAGGAGTGGAATTATTGAGAAAGAATAGAAGGACTAGACTAGTGACAGAGAGGGGAAGGTTTAAAGGCTTTAGGCGGTAGGCTCAAATCCCTGGGATAGGTGGATATTCCTCATGCTTAACACATGACATTTCTAAGTGGAATTCTTCCTTCTATTTTCCATTCATAAATAGAATAGGGATTCTTCGTCCAAGCGCGCATTCTGTTGCCTGTGTCAGGAAGGCTGCTCTTCCCTGGCCACTTCGCCACCTTTGTTTGGTACGTAGTTTGTCAAAGAAAATAGATTTCTTACTGTAATGAATGAATTCGGGGATATCAGCTTAGGTATGTAGTCGCTTATTAAAGAATAAGGAAAGATGATCTATTGGCTCACAATTTTTTGAATGAAAGAACGAGGCCAGCGGGCGTACATTACCAGCATTCCCGGGTGTGGGTTAAGCCCAGGGTCTTATCGGTACGTGTTGAAGCTCTAGAAGACCGATCTCCTTAAAGAGAAAGACGAGTAGAAAGCCTCAAATGAGAAATCAGCCATGAGGCGGGCGGGGTTCTCGTGAGATTATTCTATAGAATGGGCCAATATCGTTCAAGCCTAGGAGTCGAAGTCTTTGCCTCTTAAGAAGCTAACAAGAGGGGTCAGAGTCTTTCTTTCGAGGGCGGCCAATGTGCGGACCGTGTGCCCCTTTCATTATTTAGCAAAAGGGCAACTGATTCTCATGCTTTTCCTCTCCTCATTTTCCGGGGAAGAACGGTAGAAGAAGTCTTCCTAGGCGGGGACATATGCTCCCTAGAGTTAAGAGGACGGGGACCTCTTCTTTAGCTCTTGCCCTCTCGCGTAGTGAATTCCTTCCTTCTGAGCTTCATCTAGTCAACAGAGAAGGGGAATAAGAGAATAAATGTATACTTCCCGCCAGTGTACGGATGAATAGGTAGGAGCTTCTTTACTTTAGGGCTTTAGGCCAGGGATGAGTGGGAGAAAGCAGTCCAATCTTTTCATTCCTATATGGATGATAGAACCGCCTTCGATTGGTCAGCAACGAAGAGAGACGGGGTCGTCGAACAAGTGTCCCTGCTGTTGCTCCTCTGGTGAATTTAGAGAGTCAAACCCACAGGTGAGATTTTGCTAGAGGAAGGATAGGATTGAAAGGCTACTTTCACTTTCAAAGGGTGCTGGTGATAGAAGAGAAGGAAGGGAATTAAAGTTTCCATTTTGAATTAGGTCTATAGTTGCTAGTTGCTTCACCCCAATATGTTGATTCAAGCAGGAGTAGGAGAAGCTGTATTGGATGCTATCCTTTCCTTCTTAAACTCTGGCAGTTTGCTTAGGGAGGTTTTATATACCGTTATTGCTAAAGTTCCCAAGATCCCTAATGCCACAAAGCCAAGTAATTACAGACTCATTTCATGTTGTAACACCATTAATAAGTGCCTCACTAAGCTCATAGCTAATAGGTTTTCTTGGTGAGTTTATTTTGATTGATCCATCACAAACAGCCTTTGTTCCTTGCGGAAGTCTAATGGACAACATTTTGCTATCTCAGGAGTTACTAAGGAATTCTCATAGGGAGTCCCCCTGCCCTAGGTGTGCCATCAAAGTGGACTTTCAGAAAGCCTATGATTCTAACAATTGGAATTTCATTTTGGATACTCTACATTGCTATAATTTTTGATCCATTTTCATCCAATGGATCAGGACATGTATCACCACTCCTTCTTTCTCTATTCAAAATATCTCTACCTTAGTCTCCATCAAACTCACTGAAACGAATTATCTTCTATGGAAAGGTCAAATCCAGCCATTCCTTATAGGCCCAAATCTTTGGCCTTTCGTTGATGGATCGTTTCCTTGCCCCCCTCCATTTTTCCCTTCTTATGATGGCAAAACAATGAATCTCAACCCATCTTATACTTCATGGGTTCAAACTGATCAAACTCTTGTCAGTCTAATCAATGCGACTCTCACCGAATCTGTTCTTGCCTTGCTCAAGTCGTTGGTCTTCAAACAAACCTCTCGTGACGTTTGGTCTTGTCTTCAACCAAATTTCTCTCAACAATCGCTTGCTAATGCTAGTAATCTTCGCTTCCAACCTCTCTCCGGAAATCAATCTATTTCTCAATATCTTCAACATGCCAAAATCTTGCAGATTCATTGGCTGCTATCAACGAACCAGTCTCAAATGTTGACTTTGTTACCTCCGTTCTTCGTGGTCTTGGCCCAGATTATGCTATGCTAGTCACTGCTATCTAAAATTTCCCCACCTTACCTTCTTTTCCCGATCTTCGTGCTCGATTGCTTTCCTTTGAGTCACAACTCACAACAAGAATTCCTTCTTCCAATTCTTCCCACCCTACTGCCTTTATAACTACCCGTGGTCGTGTTATTCGTGGTGACTTTGGACGAGGAGGTCGTGGATCTTTCTTCTCGAATTCAGGACTTCTAGGCCCTACCCCGTCATCCGACTTTGATGGACGACGTGTTCAATGCCAAGCCAAATTTGCTCTCAGTTGCTAAATTTACGAAAGATCATTTTGTAAGTTTCACACCTTAATGCAAGCACTAAGCAAGTAAACTACCTGTCTTTATTTTTTTTTTTTAATGAAGTTGCTCCCAGGCCTGTATCACTTGAGTATGTCTTTGTCCTTTGGACTGAAAAAGGGTTTTGATTCATTGCCTCTCCCGAGGATTAGGAGAAAGGGCCGGTCGAGCTATTTCATAACTGGACGGCTTCTTGCTTCTTGCGTGCTCTATTTACTTTAAAAGCGGATTCGCCGACTTTGACTTCTAGGCTTGAAGCCTTCTCTTCTCGCTCTTTCATCAAAGCCCATACATTTTCTTTATTTATCTCGTGAAAGCACTCATGGAAGTCTTTCTGGATTACTTGAACAAGAAACTCTATCCCAAAAGTTCTTCCTTCCCCCTTTTAGTTGAGTTCTTTGAATCGCTCATTGGCTTTACTTTACTAGGGTCATAAGGCCGAGGTGAGATGCCTTCCTTCATTGACCGGGCTTGGGCACAGAGGCAGCCCGGCAAAGGACGAGCTATGACCTTCAGTCCCAAGGATTTATACTATTGATCAGCAGGTCTCCTAGGATTCGTCTTGAATAAGTAAGGTAGTTTACTTGCTTACTCGTTAGAGTAAGGATTTAAGAAAAGGCCCTTTCAAGCCATCTTTATGTCCCCCGGTCCGGTACAAGGGCTCCATTAAATATGATATAGGACAGGGCTTCTTTCCGCGCAGCGTATCTGTGAAAAGAATCGATTCTAGTAAGTCAACTGAGTTCAGTAGTGAAGCATTGGAAGCTCAAGTCCGGAAGTCAGGAAGCTTTACAGTGGCATCACAGGAATAAGAGAAGACGGTGCTAGTCGTTGAGGGATAAAATCGCTTATGCGAAGCATAAGGGATGCCCGCTCTTGCCGCTGAACATGCTATGTGTACTTGTCTCCGTGTCCTTACGTCTCCTGATACCGATGGTAAACTCAAGAAAAAAGGTTTTGGAAGAAAAAGCGAACTAAGAATATCTTCCTGTGAAAAAGATTGAAATGGCACCATGAAGACAACCCACCGCTGGAACTTGCTTTGCTCTCGCTCCGCTCGTTCCCACCTGTCTTCTTCCCGCTAGAGTGAAAGAGGTTTTTCACTTCCTTCACCCTAGCGAAAAAGTCACAAACCTTCTTTTATTGGCCTGTTACTCTTAAAGCTGGATCCCCTCAGCTTTCCCCTTAGAGTGCTTTAATCATTCAGCCATGGATGCAAAGAGACTCAGCGAGTGAACTAGGTTTTAGTATTCCTTCTCGAGCTTCTATTTCTTCCGTTAAAGGAGATTCGAGAAAAGATGGAATAGGAAGACGTGTTTCCATAACAAAGAAGATACGGGTTGAGAAGAGGAAGTTAGCAAAGTTAGACAAGATTGGAATGAGCATAGGAACATGTATTGATGTACCAGATTGGCTAATGCTCCCAGGTTGATGCGATGTATTCCACCAGTTGACCGGAGACTTGATTATTGGTATATCGATCGGTCCGGCACGGATTGAAATAGGAGCCAATTCTACAGGAAGCTTTTGAAAACACAGCGCACCCAAGTAAATAAGGAACGAGATGAATACAGAAGTTAAACGCGCATCCCACACCCAAAAGGTGCCCCACATGGGTCTTCCCCGAAACCCCCCAGTAACTAAGGTAAACAACGTGGAAAAAGCACCCATTTCTGTACCGGTTCCGGAAGAGCGAAGAAAAAGAGGATGTTTTGTTAATAGGAACAAGAAAGTGTTTATAGCCGTAACGATATAAACAAGAATACTCATCCGAGCCACAGGAACATGTACATAGAGAATACGAGAATTTCCACCTTGTTGAAAATCTAGTGGTGCTACCCAAAGACTTAAATGAATAGCCATCGCTGTTAAGAACAACCAAGATCCAATGAGAATTTGCGCGTAGTTCCTGGTCTTTGACATCAAAAAAAAAGGTTGTAATAAAGAAAGAGAAAGGGGGCTAGGGACCCTTCTACCGGTATCGGGCGTTTGGCTTCCTGAGCTGGCAGGCCCCTGTCGGGGAACGCCCGTACATGAAGGCTTGCTCTCCTCACACTTCAAATTCTTTCTATTCTTTTTCTTTCTGCGCCAGAATATACATATACATAGAATAGCTATCATAATAAGGATTATTATCATAATATAAAAAGAAAAATGGTCATTCAATAGGGGCTCGAGGGGGGAAGGGACCAAACTACCGAATTTATTAACATACCAATCATGGTTGGACCTACTTCCTCCTATATTATTCTAATAAAAGTTATACCAATAGTCGTATTCTCGAGTAAGCATGTGGCTTAGCTTAGACGAGAGTAAACCCGGACAAGTTTTGTCCAATTCCCGTTGGAGGGATTGGATATAGTCCGGTTGTATGACCCCTTTAAAAAAATCATGCCGCATAATGACCAAGAATTTTTTTAAATTAGTTAGCCTGGAGATAGTAAGCGGGTCATCAATATCACCAGGGATCCAAACCGATGTGCTAAAGAAAAAAGGAGATGAGTATACTGAGGATAGATCTATATCCGGAGGAACCGGAATCCCCTGAAGAATAACTGAAGGCATTTCCGATCCAGACGCTCCGGATGGATCCATCATATTGAGTTGGTTGGAATCTGAAACATCATTTAATACAGATTTTCCTTTATCAATTAATGCTGATTTACCTTTCATTGATATGAAAATTTTTTTGTTTTTTCGCTCCTTCTTGTCTTTGTTCGTTCCTGAGTCCGGAGAGTTCCTGGAAGTAATACTTGTTCGGAAGTTGCTCCGATAAGAGAAAGAACCTATATTATTAATATATCTTGTACGGCTATCTAATCCATCCCACTTGCTGATCGATAAGATGTATCCTAAAGGACTTTATTCCGCCCTCTTATGTTATGTCTGCGGCACTGTAGCTCCCGCTCATTGCCCTTTGCTATCGCCTGGCCTCGGACTCGACTAAGACTTCTTTCAATTGCTTACCCAGCTTCGGGCGGATCATCCTTTAGAAGTAGAAGTGGAATGGAGGAATGATAGCAAGAAAGAAGAAGATCAATAGTCGAGATAAGAGCGGTCAGAATAGCTTTTACAATGACAAGAACAATCAACTATTTACTTCCTTAAGAACGTTAATAAAAAAACAGAGTTCTGTGGAGCAACCCTCCACTGACGGTCTTGCCCCTATAGTGATTAATGAATGTGGATGTGAGGTCAAGAAAGATTATAAGATTAGAGTTCTTGGTGAACCTTACACTAGCGGAGATAGCTATTTAATGCACTAGCGGAGACTACGAGCTGGAGGGATAAAAGAAAGCTGGAACCATTCAAAATAAAAGAAAGAAGATCATACTTGAATTGGTCATTCAACCCATAAACATAAAAATGAAAGTAAAAACTAGCTAGCCCACCTCAATAGGTGCCTTTTCAAGACCTACCCGTGGAATGTTGAATAGGACATCGTTCAACTAGTGAATAGCTTACTAAGAGAAAGAGAGGTTCATAAACATATATAGGATTGAGAACTAAAAGACTTCGTCTTCAGAAAGAGCTCTTCAACTCCTCTTTTTTAGACTAAGAATATGCTGAGGCATAGACCCGATCTAACTTTCATACTCTCATCATTAAGATCAACAAATTCTCTCCGTTGAACTTCCACAGTGCAGTTTCTCTACTGCTACTAGAGAAAGCTCTATCGCAATACGTCCTACTAAGGATAAGCAACTACATCATGAAAGAAGGTATGGGATTCGTGTGTGGTAGTCTCAATTCATTCCCTCATGCGCATCTAGTGCAGTGTCTCTGTAACGTTCATAAACCCTATCCTGTTTAGACATATAGCAGCCAGAAAGAGAAAGCAGCTTTGAGAACTAAGAAAGCAGTCTACAGGATAGACCTTTGCTTCGCTCTTCACCCTTTATGGGGCTCCGCCCTCCTGACCGGAGTGCCGTTCACTCGACTTCTTAAGCGGGAAGTACTTGTTCCCTTCACCAACCAAGCTTTGGATTTAAAAATCGTATGTATATAAGCATAGAAAGCGCACCGTTTTGATATGGCAGTTGAAAATAGATCTGGAGAGTTGCTCACTCCAACGAGCCTAGGTAGACTTTGTCCACTTCCTATCAAAGCTCCAGTCTCCGGACTTGAAGAAAAGGGTGCCTACGAGACAGCTATGGTGTTGCACAGCAAAGTCTGTTGGGCAGCAGAAAATCCGTAATTAAGATCCTGAAGCGCTTGTCTGCAAAACCCTCTGGAAAGGTAGGTTTCTTGACATACTGTGACGATGGCTCCATACGGGATCGATCTTCTTGTCATATTCGTTCCATTCTGACTTAGAAAAATGTCTCTTGCTGTTTTCAAGCCAATCCTTTTCTCGCTTGGAGCTGAATGCAAGTATTTCCTTTGGCTAGAGGGAGCTGTGAGGGAAGGGGCGGATCCTTCTCTTCTATATGAGATTTAGCCCCTCGCTTCATGCTTTCTCGTGAGACCTATCTCCTTCATTCCCTGGGATCACTTCGCTTGGCTTGCTACCATTCGTTCGATCTGCCTATTCCCTCTTATTCTAGCGCTGACCCCTGATTTGATTCTCCGCATCTATCGGGCAAAGAAGCATCGCATTCCCTCCTATTTTCGTAGTAAAACATCGCCCTAGACTGCTAACTAAGATTATAACCCTACTGGATCCTACTCTTGTACTAAACAAGACTTCCCGCTTAAGAAGTACTCGATTCCCGTGCGAGCTTTGATAATCAGTCTACTCCTTTATAACACAATCTCTTTCTTCTAGTCTTGCTTTCTCAAGCCAATCCTACGTCCGGAATGGGATTGGGTCCTCTTTTTACGTCGAACCCTAGTTGTTGGTAGGCCGGCTTTTGATAGGAACCCCTTGCCTGTAGGAAAAGTGTTTCATTTTGGGTTCGGAACTTGAACGCATAGTTTTCTTTCCTCTCTCCCTATCACGTTGATTGGCTTAACGTGCCAAAGCGCGCGCTATAGAAGTCTTTGGCATTGGATTTAGGGAACTTCCCCGGCTAAGCTTAAACTTCCGGATGGAGCGGTAAGCCTACTTTTTTATTTATGTTTATGGCTATAGCCGACGATTGAGCAAGAGAACCCGGATCAGCAAGAGAGCATCTGTTGAGGCGTCAGCGAGCGATTCAGCAATGGCAGACTCCTCCGACAGCAAACTCTTCGGTGGCGG